GTCTTTCTTGACTCAGTTTTGGGGAAAACAGGCACCAAGATTCGCTTTTCGCGCGAAAGTGCGGGCATCGCCAGGAGCATGAGAATGACCGGGCGAATTGCTCAGTTGTCCAAACCGATGGGGTAATTCAAGTTCGGAGCTGTTCGGAGCTGTTCGGAGCTGTTCGGAGCTGGGAAGTGGCCGTTTCTAGTTGACAATCAGTAACTTTGGCAGATATAAACTGCATGGTTGAACAGAAATCAACTTTTTTGAGGACTCCAAGCGAGAGTCTGGGAAGTTTACTTGCCAAGCGAGAATCTCGTTTCTGGTTTGTTAAGATTTCCACTGAACCACCGTATCGAAGCGCTCGCCAAGTTGGGTTTTCTCCCTCAAAAGCAAAAACAACTCACGAGCGCTCTGCGAGCAAGCGCCGGGCTTGGACAAAAGATGCTTGGACGCCTTTTGCCGTGCAGTTTTTTTTCGACCTGGAGCAATGGTGACCAAGCCAGCGGATCCGATTTTGGAGAAGCTTAAACTCAGTCCGTCCCTGAGCTGACCATTTGAGTGGTTAACAAAAAGTTTGGAGTGTTTCTGGCCCATCAAGTAACCGCTGGTTATAAATGGCGCTCGAGCATGTGATTGCACAGGTGTCATTTTGGGCCCCAAAGGACAACAGCAAGGGACCAATGGGTTCAATGTGGTGCCTTGTGTGTAGAAAGGCATGCGGCATGAGCAACGGTCGCCATGATTACTATATCCACCACCTTCCTGTTGTTTGGCGAAGGGGACGACATGGGACCCGTACACTCACCAAATGATTAAATGACCATTAGAGATCGGTCTTACTCAACATGACCGTTGCTCATATATTGGTCAATGACCAATGTCCGATTTTTCCTCATGGTCTTTGGTCAAACCATTGGCCCACATGCGCAAGGATTCCGGTTCATGTTCATCCCGAGACTGTGCATGCAGACTCAGACTGTCAGGCCCCGAAGCGTTAGAGACCTTCAGAGGTGCATTTGCTTGTTTCACCCTTGTTGTTCGGAGGTTTCCCTATTGCGCTAGGGTGGGCTTATCTCTCTTGCACACAAGGACCTGTCCTGAAATAATTCCCTTCTGAAGGCCCGGGCAGTGGGTGTAACTGTACTTTCGGCAAGTGAGTGCGTCTTTTGTTAGTGGTGTTCCTTAGCTACCGAGGCCCAAGCAAAAAACCCTTTCGCGCTCGAGCTGAAAGTAACCAAAAGAATGGGGCAGCCATTTTCCATGCGGCCACAGGAGCCCTTGTAGCAAATCGAAAAGCTTAGATAGCGCCGGAGCTAAGTGATTTGCAACCATGGACACGTTCCACCAAAGGTATTGTTTTCTCACTTGTCCATGACCCTTTGACCTGCTTGTTTTTCGTGTTTCACCCATTTTTAGTCAAGGTTCCAGCAGGTTAGCCTGTTCAATTTCCATGTCTTTTAGGCAAGTGAGGTTCAGCTCCCCTAATGTTGATCCCTGATTCATCTCCCCCCAGTTATTCATCCGGGGGGTCCCTTTTGGTGGTGATTCATAACTGCGGGTGTATTATTATTCAGGGGTGATTAATTGGCGTTTTGATCTTTCCGGGGTCAACGTGTGGGATGCTTCCAATTGCAAAATATATATATATATATATATTATTTTGTTCCCCTGTTGGTTTTGAAGGAATGCTATCACTATTTGGACATATATGATCCCTTTGTTTTTTCCAGGGGACGAAAATGCAAATAAATGGACGTATTAAATATACCTAGACTCTCCATGACCCTTCAACAATGGTTGGTCATTGCCCAAAAGAAAGGGGTCATGACCAACCATTTGTTTAAGGGTCATGGAGACAGGTAGACTCTCCTTCTGACCCTTCAAACATGGGCCGGGTCGTGCCCCGCTTTCATTTGGCAATGACCAACCATTGTTCTAGGGCCCCATTCTTTTAAACCCTCGTTCTTTCCAAAAACCGATCGCCGGTTTCAAAGGATGTTTTCTTGAAAGAAGCATCCCTACAAAGAATGGAAATGGAAGGTACCCCTAGAATTGTGAAAGGATCAGAAGGAGACTCCCCGCACCAATGGCAACCAAGGCACGTGTCTCCCGGGCCCAAGCGCCATGAACTTTTTGCACGTCGGGAAACCCGCTTTTTGAATTCGGACTCTGACTAGGTAGTGCCCTTTTACTTCTTTTTTTTGGGGGGGGAGGGGGGTTCCCCTACTAAAATAGACTACAGAAACAAGTTGGTACCCTTATTCTAACCTCTCTACTGGAGGACCTAGCTGAACTGTTTGGACCAAAACACCTGGCCTTTTAAGTGTGTACTCGTGATTCCTCGTGTGGGTTGGTTTTAGATCAGAAAGCCGCATTGAAAGCTGAAGTGGGGGGCCTCGTGCCCTTGGACGCCCTCTTTGCACCGCTCGGAGCTGCAGTCTTGAGAAGCTCTCAAATTCCGCCCCCTGGTCGCGTCGACGAACAACCGGGCCGGCCCGTTAAACGGGTCAGGGGACCCAGGTTCTTATTGCTTTCAGATCAATCGCCGCAGGAGATGAGTCCGAAATTGTCGAAGGTGTTCTTTGAGCTGTGAAGAGTGATACTTTCAGTTTGTTTCTACAGGATTTCCGAGCCATTTCCCTTTTTGGAACCTCCAACAGCGGCAGTTTTCCACGGAAACCGCCTGTAAATTGCAGCTTTTGAAGGGGCGATCCTGTGACTCCTGTATCCTCGCTCTTGCCATGGTACAACCAGGCGGAAAGCTTAGCGTTGGATGCCGTAACCAAGCGATCGGCGGACAAAGTTACTGCGGTGAAAAGGCTTCGGCTGGAAAGAGCAGGGGACCCCAACTATTGTTGGTAAATTGAAGTTAGAAAGATAGGATCCCGTTTTTTGAAGTACTTACCCTAGGAGCCCAAGACCTCGTTGTTTGAGGTCTTTGGGGGTCAAAGGCCCTCATATGTACCTAGACTCTCCATGACCCTTAAAACAGGGGGTCATTGCCCAAAATTAAGGGGTCATGACCCCTTTTTCTAGGGGTCACAGAGACTCTAGGTAGGGTCTTGGGCTCCCAGGTTAGCAACATGGGGCCTGTGGACGACAGTGGGGACGCTGGCCAGCCATACTTGTCCAGGGTTGTCCTTTAGACTCATTGTTGAACACATGTATCAATTTCTCCCTGAAAGGTGGCAGTTTCCGTTTGGAAGGGAACTCCCTAAAAGGGTGTCAAACCATGTCATGAGTTCTCTTAGGGCCCCAGAAGTTGCACTTCCGTTGGGGTTCAAATTTATTTTCCCATTTACCGGCAACAAGTTCGCTCGCCGGCGGGCTCGGTGTTTGGTTCGAGAGCTACGTTTGGCCAAGCGAGATTTCGGGGATTTGGATCCAACCCACGGGTCTGCCGTTTTGGAGGGGGGTTGGTTTACACGGTCTAGGGCTTGATTTCCCATTCTTTTCAACCATCCTTCTTTTCAAAAACCGGATCTGTTCCCTGGGTTATGGATGGTTTCCTGAAAAGAAATTGGGATCCCTGGAAAGAATGGGGAAGGTAGCCCCAGAAATATGTCCACGTATTTTGTTCGGTGTCGCGCATGTTTTTTGATCCACTCGCTGTCCATGTCTCAAAAAGGGGGATCTCCAAAATGACCGTTTCCTGTGCGAATTTTCCTTTTCAAGAACTGAACCCTAAAAATGACGCACCCGAATGTGTTTGTCTCCCAATTGGTACCCAAAACCAAACATGTGGGTTGTGTTTCCTTTGCAGCAACCCGTAGGCAACCCAAACAAGGCTCCCCCGAAAATGACATGGTGTTTCAATTGCAATCCAATCCCATAAACCGGTTGCACCGCCCTCCCCCGGTGCTCGATGAATGGGGTTTTGGGGGCTGTATTCGTCCAGGGAAGCTTCCATTTGCTTAAACGAGTGTGTATAGTTATTTGTCCGTGTTGGTTTTAAAGGGAATCGCTTTCACTACTCGACATACTTTTGCATTTCTTCCAGTGGACTTCAGCAAATGTAAGGAACTTTGCCCAAAATCAAGCAACCAACAATTACCTCCATTTGTTCAAGTTGTTTCTCCCTTGTTGGTTTAAAAGGGAACTCATCACTACTGGAAGTTCTTTTTCCTGGGGCCTCAACCAAATGGAAGATTAGAAGCTCCTAGTTTGCTTCTTCTCGAGTTCCAAGGGTATGGAAAGAGCGTGCTTAGCCCACCATTTTCATGGGGTGGCTCGTCTTTTTGTTGAGGGTACCGTGGGTGGCTCGTCTTTGTTTGAGTGCACCCTTTTTTGTGGTGCTTTTCAACGGAACCCGAAAGGAAAAACCCACCATTTTGTGTAAGAAACAATAAGTATCTTTCCATGGGTGAAAGCGTTACCGCCACTCACTGGAGGTCTTTTGGGTGGCGTTTGGGCGAGTTACACCAGTGGTGCCAAAATGGTTTGCCAGCCTTTGGAGGGGGGAAAGCCCAACAGAAGCTTCATGCCCTCCTTTTTTGTGAGACCTCTGAGGACCTGTCCCGTCTCTCTCGTGAGTGTTAAAAGTTGATGGACATGAATCCCCGCCTGAATGTTGCCCCTATCGCCGCTTTCACGGTTCAAGGGCACGTTTGTTCTTTTCGCCGGCGCAAGTTGCTCTTTGCAAGAGAAGACGAATACCCGCCCCCTCCAAACACCTTTTTGGTGTGCAGGTATTTTGTTTTTCTGTTTTCTCTCTCTTTTTTCCGGTTGTCCATGTCAAATGCCCTTGTTTTTTTTGATTGTTTTTTGTTAGTCGGTTGACATGCCTTAAACAATACAGGGTGTTTGGAGCAGGCATGGCCCGGAACAATGTCCAACCTCCCAAGCTAACTCTTGCTGCCCTGAAGCCATGCCCTCGCCACAAGCCGGAGAAAGTTTCAGAGAGGAGTCGGCTGGCTTTTCTTGGCCCATTTAAACTGCCAGCAAGAGGCTGAGATATCATGACCAAGCTTGCCAGATGCTGCGACCGAAGCACCTCACTCGAAGTGTTGTTTTTTAGCCAAACTTGTTTCGCCCCTTTGCCTGGCGCCTCGCGCCGCTCACGCCGCCGCCATGGACACCTTAGTGGATCGCATGCACCGGGAGAGCCTTGGGTGCACACGAAGATGTTAGCCACGAGTCTACCTCTGAGTCAAAGGGCTCAGTACCCCTCTAATTTGCCAGATGACACCATTTGTGTATGGGTTCGCGGGAGACTGAAGGCATCCTCAGGTCATCGATTTCATGGAAGCTGCTATGTCGCATGTTAGATTGCCAACCGTGTTGGCAAAACCTAAGCAACTAGTTCTAAACCCCTTCAGAGACACTTGTTACCGACTACCACTGAACACTGTCTCCTCCAAGACGATGTTATATTTTAGGTACGCTAATGGAACAAAATCAGATACAGCGGAATCATTGGGATTTCGCGACCATCCACAGTACTTTTGTGTACCTAGAGTCTCCGTGACCCCTAGAAAAAGGGGTCATGACCCCTTAATTTTGGGCAATGACCCCCTTTTTTAAGGGTCATGGAGAGTCTAGGTACGCATGGCCCAAGATTGCAGTCTTTAAGAGGGGCGGGAGCTCGGGAGCTCGATTTGACGACAGGCTTTGGGGGTTCAAAGGCGTGGGAGGGCGGCTTTGTGGGTGTTTTATATTGCCCATGTTTAATGTACCCGGGAAACCAACAGGGGTGTACACCCAGGTCCATACAGTGAGTGTTTGGTCGCTTTGGTGACTTCTAATTTCCTGCTAGCACTGTGCGTAGGCTAAAGGGAGCCATGTTTCATCAACCCCAGTTTCCCTCCAACAGTGGTCAGAATCCCCACATTTCACCCAGAAATGGACACCCCCCTTAGTAAACCGAGGCTTTTTTTTCCGGGGTCACTTGTTTGGCAAACATCGACAGAATTCGTCTGGTTTCACTTTTGGTCACATTGGTTTGCAGCCAGTCCTTGAAGGGCTTCCTGAAACTGAAAGGGGGGGGCTTGAATCACAGTGGGCTGAAAGGGGGACGCGGCTTATCCATTTCTGGGGGGCACCGACCCCTTAACCTGGGGTTGATTAATATGGGGTCAACATTATCAGGGTCCCATTTAAGAGCACGCAAAAGGTGGCCACTACTTGGGATGGACATTTCGATGTTTACATAGCTGTTCAAACTCCAGCCACCATTAAACACCTCCTGGGTGAAGAAAAGGAGTGACTGGGATGGATATGATGGCTTAAGCCTACCACAGCGCCCGCTGAGCCAAGAATTCGTGTGGGCCCAAGAGAGGTTTGGAGGACGAAACTTTGGCCCATGTCCCTTCTTCCTTAGGGCCCCTCGGTTTTGGTTGTCAGGCATTGGTTGCGGAGGTAATTCCTTGGGCTTGATACGGGCCCGGGTTCTTCTGCTTGAAAAAGCTCCCAAAAAACTTGGGCCTACTCCAAATACACGCTTCTTTTTTGGGGTATCATCTCAACCCTTTGCGAAGAGAGGAGGTATTTGATATGGAAAGCCAGGCTTTTCAACACAATGCCAAAGATCAAGAGGGTCTTTGAAGTGCTTTTCAAGTTCCCACCCTCTGCTTGTCTTTGCGGGCCAGTCTGATCTAAGTAGCATTTAATGTTCTTTATCATGAGGCGCCCGAGTGGCCTGCAAAAGCATTGACTTCAATTGTATCCAGCCGTCGAGGGATCCAAGAGCCAATCCAAAATCCGACCAACCACCTGGTTGGCTGACTTAGATGGTTTGTGAGCAACCCTTGTTGGTGGGTCCAGGCAACCATCTTTGATGTGCCAAACCTCGAAAAGCGCCAAAGCCCCACCACCACTCCACCCACCCCCCAACACCACCCCCCCAACACCACCCCCCACCCCGACCACACCACCCCACCCCCCCCCCCCACCCCCACCACCACCCCACCCCACCGCTCCTTCCGCGACCCGAAGGATCGAGGTGATGACCAGGCGCCTCGAGTTGGAGAAGCGGCGCTTGAAGCGCCTCGAGAAGGCGCCCTCCGAACTCGGCCGTCGGCCCTCGGAAGGCCCGAATGCCTTAGGACCCCATGCATACCTAGACTCTCCATGACCCTTTAAAAAGGGGGTCATTGCCCAAAATAAAGGGGTCATGACCCCTTTTTCTAGGGGGTCACGGAGACTCTAGGTACTGTGGATGGACTTGAAACCATGGGGAACCATAACGTTTGTGGGTATTTAGAGGGGAATCATCGTTCTGGGTTTCTTGGGTGGTGCGGAGTTCGTCCATCCACAGTGGGTGTCTGGAACCCCCTGGAGTCCTCGGTTGCTTTCTGCTCCCCTGCTAAAAGTTTAACTTTTAGCGGTTTAATGGAAAACCCATTAATTGGCAACAAGTTAAAGTCCTAACAGCCAAGCAAAATGCGCCGAAGTGAGTCTCCTTCTACCCTTTGAAAAATCATTGGTCATTACCCAAAATAATGGGGTCGAATAAGCCCATTTTTCAAGGGTCATGGAGAGTCTAGCCCATCCATAAGTGTCCTAGTTGGTTGTTTT